TCTCTCTCTCTCTCTCTCTCTCTCTCTCCCTCCCCCCCTCTCTCTCCCTCCCCCTCCTTTCCTCTCCCCCTCTCTCTCTGCGTGTGTGTGTGTGAGAGTGTATGGGGGGGGAGGGTGCGCGCACGCACGTGTGTATGCACCCACAACCTTCCTTATTACATATATCTCGTCTCTTTTTAAGTTTACCTAAATACAGTATCACATGTACTACATTCGTTAGATCACAATTATTATTAAATCATGAATTTTCGTAGTATATACAAACCTTGCAAGAGATGCAAAGAATGCCAAATATTAAAAAAATTTGTTGCAATTTTCCTATTCTAGATTTATAATTAAAACATTTTATGAAAATTTTGTTTCCACAAGATCTTTAATTAACATGATTAATACAACACAATGCGATTGAACGATTAACAATTCCGAGTTTTATGAAAATAAATAATAAAAGACGATTATTATGCAAATGTGAATCCATCAAAACGAAAATTATAATCTATTTAATAACAATTAGTAATTTAATTTAAAGTTTTTAATTGAAAAAAGAAAAAATAACAAGATAAAAATAATAAAAATTTTAAACATACGTGAAATGTGGGTGTGATATATGTAACGTGTTAACAGAAATTCATGTTTGAAAGTTCTAGTATTGTAATATTAAACGATTAATCTAAATAAAAATCAAAATAAATTGCGGTTTATTTCACAATAACGGAGGTATCCCGCTCGATATATTTTTTCTTCATCCTCGAATATATTATTCTCTTAAGCGTTATTAAATAGATAAACATTATTTCTAGATAGTCTTACTTATTACATTCACTGTGTGACGTTCTCATGTATATCTTTGGTATTTGGTCGTAATTTTTTTTCTAAATATACAAACATGTCTCTTGGAGCCGGTGTTTCAATATCGCACAGCTAGCAACAATTTGAACGGTTTACTCTTTCGTCCGAAAATTATTATACCTATTCGTATTAAAAAATCTTGTGCAAAATCACGTGTAAATGAACAATTAAATGTTTCTTTCTATCTTCCTCTCTTTCTCTGCAGAATATAAAAATATTTCGATAAATGAAAATGTGGACGTGTAATTAGTTGAATGTTACAATTAGGCCTTCGGTGCTGTCGCTTTTAAATAATAAATATCTTATCTTGATAGGTGAATAAAAAGTCTACAAATTGATTGATGGGTCCTATCGCAGAAAGGGACATTCCACGTGCCGGCGGTGCTCTAACTAGATTCGGTCCAAATACGACCGCGAGATTACTAGAAGTCATCTTGTTCAAGTCGCATCGGTCCATTACCTATCAATGGCAAGAAATATAGATGAAAGTAACAATTTTATCGATCTGTCGTCGTAGGATAATCGGAACTGCAAATATTGGTTACGTACCCTCGATAAAAATTGTACGATGTATTTAAGAACTTGATAGTTGTCTTCGGGAAGTTTTTCTAATATTAATATCTTAACTTTACGCGGACGTTCGTCTTTTGATAATACTACAAAAATTCAAAGAAATATTTTATGTCGCTGTAATACTGAAAAATGTGTGCGTGTACCAAGAAAAGGAAGGAATACAATACTTACTTTGGAACTGCGTGATTTCGTCGTACAATTCGTAAGTCATAAGAGGTTCATCTAGCTCACGGAGGAAAGTCTTAAGTAAAACCGCAGCGATATGCGGATCTCCTTGGAAATCAATGGGTAAACCTTGATTACAGCGGTTCTGAAGTTCTTTGATTACTGTTACATTAGCTGATCTTCTGAATATCCCTTCTGTTTCTAGAGCTGAAACAATGACAAAACGATTGTCAATTAGAATACAACGAGATAAAGGTGGTTATTTTTGTTGAAATATCGTACCGTCAGGTGTATCAAGAAATTCTACACACTGTCTTAGAATAGGTGGTATGGAATCACCATTATTATTTTCTTTGATGAATTGCAGATTAGCACCAAACTGAGTCGTGCCAACTGGTGTGACTACCGCACTCTGTGGTGGACTCGCCAGTAAATTTTTCTTATTTTTCATCATCAGCTGTTCGTTGTGTCTGAAAAAAAAAAATCGTCCTGTGAAGTAAATCTGGGTGCAATTCGATTTGACAAAATTTGTTTTCTTCAAAAATACTATTTTTCATAATAGCACAACTAAATTGCATACTCTATCACTTGAGATGGTATAATTAATTGATCCAAATTAACGTATTGTGCTAATTCCTCCAGATAATTAACATACATCATTTTACGTCCGAATTTTGCACTGTAAAGATATAAAAATCATGTAATCTGTTCTTATTGAATTTGAGAAAAGAGTGTTCAACTCTTTCATTTAGAAAAGAAAAGATTGTATACCTAATAGCTGGTTTAAATATTTGCCATACAATCCTAATAAAATTAGTCGGATGTACTAGATAAAGAGCTTTGAGATTCTTCTTATATTTCCTATCAAACGCCTTATACGCTTGCCACAACCAAGATAAGGGTGGCTTATTTTTCGACGTAAGGCCATAATGAAAATAGACAAGACTATAATCTTGTTCCACAAACATGTCCAAAGTATGCATAAGATACCTAATGGAAAGAAGTTTATATTTTGATAAGTTGTCATTTTATATTAAAAAGGAAAAAAAATGGAAAGCTAGTACCAAGAAAATAGACAAAAACTTGGCACATACAACTGTTGTAGAATTGTAGGATGACTCGCGACTTTTAAATAATTTACAGACAATTGTGAGACATTGCAATGGAATAAATATCTCGCGTGTCATTTTACAACGTAGATATATCGCAAACTCACCTGAGGAGTTTGGCGTGATTAAAGGTTTCTTTTCCAATGGGGGGTAATTTGCAAGCTGACACAACAATTATTTTACGACCAGCACTATCATCGCCGACTACCTCTACGATACCATGTCTCGATATGTCAAGATAATCTTCCTCATCGGCGAGCTCTCCATCTAAAGCAGCCAGATCGTCCGCTGTTCGTTAAAACAGACATTTGCTGTGATATCAGATTGCTCATTTCATAAGCGTACTCTCGCAACAAATTTGTATTAACTAAAAATCTTTTATTTAGCAAGAACAACTTGAATCCTCGGAGCAATTCTGTTTTATTAGGAAAAAAAGATATATCTCTCACATCTAAAAATTTATTCATTTTCAAACGCTACGATTGTGCGTACATAATGTTATTGTTGCAAAATGGATTAAAAAGAAAGCAAAACAATCATCGCGTTCCCTTTCCTTTTTCATCCTCACGCCATGCAATGTAAAACAAGCTATACAATGTTCCACACATAATTCACCTGCTATGCCCCGAGAATGCCATGACATTTACTGGCTACTAACAGAAGGTAAAAGGTCACACACCGGATTCAATAACTGGAGCATCTACCAAAGCCTCCTCAAAGTTCTCCTCAATTGTGCCATCACTCACTGGGCTTTCCAAATAATCCATTCCAACGGCTATGCTACCGCTCACCAAATCCAATTTTCCTTCCAGAAGTCGCGCCGCTGTAATGTTAAAGTTAACTTTAAACAATTACTATTTCGGTAATACCAGCCGCTTAGCATTACTATGTAACATTTTTTTTACACAAAAGAGATATATAATCAGGGTGTCTAGCGATATCTGACTAATCCATTCAAGGATAATTCTAGGATATTTCAGATAAAAAATCCTAGTTTTTCCAGGATACTACATCCATCGATTAATTTCCATCACTTGATTAATTTTCATCGATTTGCACAATGTTATATGCTTTGTACTATCAAGTTTGAAGTATCAAGTTAGGATTCTATATGACGAATGAATTAAAATGCTAACAAATTC